ATAAAAAAAATTTTGTTGTTGTTTATTATTAGCAATGTTCTTCCGATGTCTGATTTCTTTTTAAAAAATGCGTTTCTAAAGTGCATAAACTTTTGGGATTGACTGTATAGCCAATACATCCTTAATCATGCGACGTAAATAAAATGCACTTGTGCTAACGTTTTGTGGGTCAGGTAATTCACGTGGTGGGCCAAATCGAAGTAGTCTGCGACAAGTTGAGTGAAATTTTGGATGGCCAAAACGAGGAACAGCTACGTTTGGCAAGCATGAGGAGCATCATAGAAAAACACCAAAGAATAATCAGCTTGTCGAGTAACATAGAGACAGTGTTCACGTTCATAGCATTGGTACAATTTTTCTTTAATATCCTCGTCATCTGTTTTGTAGGCTTTGTGCTTATGACAGTAAGTAAACTTACGGTCAATTTTACTTAGGTGTAAGCGATTTTACGTACGTGTAAGTAATTCGTTATTGCGTGAAGCTAAAATCCAAGTTCAATAATTCGATTATACAAAGTTTAGCCGATTTCAGTTGCTTTAAATGTTCCAAGTTCATTTGTACAATTTTTATAGTCGCTAGGCACCGAAGAAATGGTCACGGTCGTGTTCAAATGCTTACCGTACTACATAACTATTAACTTCGAAGCTCTGATACTCTGTTACACCGGTGAATACCTCAGTTCGAATGTAAGACGATACAATATTTACAATGTAATCAACGAAACATCTTATTTAAATTATTCAAATGTAAGAATTACTTTTCGATCATTTTTTGCAGAGTGAAACTATTGGCTGGGTGGCGTACAATTCAAATTGGTACGAACTGAGTATTAAGGAGAATCGTACACTATTATTATTAATACTGCGCTCGCAAAGGCCGTTGAGTTTGACCATTGGAAAGTTCATGAATTTGTCCCTCGAAACGTTCGCCAATGTAAAGTCGACTACAAATTTTAATTAAAATAAACGAGCTCACATTTTTCTCTACTTTTCTTCTCATTCGGCAATATAACAGAGCAGTTTCTTTACAAATCAATTCAAGTGGATATTTCTTAATAAAAATAGATATGCTTCTGATAATTTTTATAGATGTTAAAAGCATCGGCCTCATACATATCGGTGCTGTATGCAATGGAGTAAACAAATCGACGAGTACCTGAAGAACTGACCGACGTTCGAACAGAACGAAGAAGAATAGTTAATACTGTACGATGCACTAATGTTTTAAAAGAACGCAATCTAAATAAAATACTGTTAAACAGGAGATCCTGTTTATTTCTCCCAAGCTACTATGCGACACATGTATGTATTATTTCTTCATTCACGCACAGTATATTGGCTATCATTTTTACGTGACAAAAGTTTGTACTACTAACATAAGTGCGTTTAGATGGTCGAAAGTAGAGGAAGAAAATGTTTATTTCTCGACGGTAATTACCCGCTTTAATCTAATACTACCATTACGCGAGCTATAGCCTCCTCGAATGAGTAATCACGATACATTATACAGTCCTCCCGGTGGACATCGTTTTGTAGCTTTTATGTAAGTTTCCCACCCCTCTTGCTTCGTTTATTAACAATGCAGAAATTGTCCCCAGTAGTTCAGTAGCACTGAAACTCTTCGGCCAGTATCCTCACGGTCTATTTTGATATTTCGAACGTAAATTCACATATTACTGCAATCTCTTCTTTATTATAAAATAATAATTTACGAATCGTTATCCCGTAAGTAGAACCTCGTTTTCTCCTGGATAGCTAAAAAAATTATATTTAGATTAAACGATATTTATTATAATCAAATTCTTATATACGAACGAGATACGTTTTACAAGCATGACGAGTAGAGACAGCCGACCGATGATCAGCTTTCAAATGATCGGTGCTGGGCCCAATTCATCTTACCGGACATTGAAGGGTATCCTTTGGACATTGGGCATATTACCGTTTATCAATTTAGTAACAATTAACTATTGATATTTACTTAGTTATATATCGTATGTATCTGTTCCTTTTTAATACTTCCTTCGCCATTTATCACTGAACTCATCAGATCGAAATAATGAGTCACCTTGAAACTTTGAAACTAATACAAGGTCTCTTAAATCTTATCACAATTAATTGCAAGTGCAAATCGCTTAAACAATCATTCTGTGAGTATTTATGAACAAAGATAAGGATTTGTAAATACATATAATGGAGCTTAAGATAAAGATACTTTAGCAGACAATAAATATAGTAATAAACGTTCAGAAGTATTCACATCTTGAGAAACGTTAATTTACTTCCTTCATATATATAAGGTTTTAACTTTAATTGAAGACTCTATATGTTTTTGATAAGTATTTTTATCGCCAGTGTGTACTTGTTATTGCAAGCTTAACAAATATGCGAACTATCTCACACCTTCTATCTTACGCTTTGTAATGAATTGCATACGATCACGTGCGACCCTGTCTCCCCGGTGTAAAGAATTCGATTGTTTTATCTTGAGCGGGTACTTAAATGTAGATATATATATACATATACATGTATGTCTCGTTTCACCGGTTGCAGCATTAAACACACGTTGCTGACAATCAGTCGTGGTGCACCGCGCAGTTTTAAACAGTGATTCGATATCAAACTATAATGTGTACAGCAGGATTTCTGTCAGAGTCCGCTAATTAAAATTAAATCACACTACCTGTTTTCACTCGATATTATAATATAATTATGCTTCGAACTTGGAAAGTTATCCTGACTTTCACGGTGTCTGTGATCGTTTCCTGGGGATTGTACTATGCAGTGGCTGTACATGAAAGAGGAACAGATGGAAGGCGACCGAATATAATTGTTATTATGGCGGACGATCTTGTAAGATTATTATTGTTATTTAAATGTATATTATGTAATTATAAAAAATTGAACTATCTCGCTAAGGGTTGGAACGATGTAAGCTTCCATGGTGCCAATCAAATAGCCACGCCAAATATAGACGCTCTAGCTTACTATGGCGTAATACTGCAACGGCATTATGTTTTACCAATATGTACACCATCAAGGACAGCCTTTCTTACCGGACGTTATCCTATACGATCAGGTATCCTTTCAACAGGATCTCTAGTGAAGTCGTATGACCTTTCTGAATAGTAGAACGTATTTACAATGAAACAGTTCAGTATATATGAAAACGTACAGGCTGTTATCAAGCAGATATAAATCATCAATTAAAAATGAAATAATTGGGATCTTTTACGTTTCATAATAATCGATCAGACAATCAATGATAAATTAATAATACATTAGCTATTTAATTAAAAATCCCCAACCGTGATCTACGACAACGTTTCTTATCTATCATAGGATCGTAAATTTTTATCATTAATTGAAACTTGCTAATTTTCCAACAGGTATGCAAGGGTATCCTTTAAAAGCAGGCGAAGCACGCGCGATTCCTTTAAACAATACCCTTTTACCAGCCCATTTAAAGAAATTAGGATACGCAACTCACCTTGTGGGCAAGTGGCACGTTGGCTATTACGAGGATAAGTACACACCTGCCTATCGCGGTTTTGATACCTTCTTGGGATATTACAATGGTTACATCTCGTATTTCAATCATACCATCGAACAAGATGTAAGATTTATTTGCAAATCTTACTAATGATATAAAGTATCATAGATCGAGCTTGGTTCATTCATAGAGCAAATGATCGAGCCTCGAGTGTTATTAAAAACTGATTTTATCAAGCTCCCGCATTAAAAGTATGCATGTATTTTTAATCACATTACAGAATCATGTCGGGCACGATTTGCATTACGATATCCCAGGGCACTTATCTCCTAAATATAAATACGAATACATGACTGATCTGATATCAGAAAGAGCGGAGGACATAATTTTGGGTCACGATCAGTCTAAACCCCTTTATCTACAACTATCTCATCTTGCTCCTCATTCTAGCGATGCTAAGGAAGTTATGGAAGTTCGTGATGCGAAATACGTGAACGAAACTTTGGGCTATATTGGAAATTTTAATAGAAGAAAATTTGCAGGTATATAATATCAAGAATTACGAAGCTTTACATGTGATTGTGCGCCATTTTAAATGACATATAAGAAACACATGAACAGAATTATATGCAAAGGTTCATTTAGGAGTGGTCACTGCTATGGACGAATCGATTGGCAGGGTTGTTCGGGCGCTGAATCAAGCGAACATGTTAGAGAACTCGATCATCGTTTTTATGTCTGACAATGGTGCACAGACCGAGGGATTATTAGAGAATTATGGATCAAACTATCCTCTGCGAGGGGTAATGAATTAAATATTATTACAACAGTCAAATCATTACATTTCAAGACCTTTACGTTAAGACTCACATTCTCGAGTTACCTAAAAATCTGGTCTTGATAAAACTAATTTTGAGTAGAAACCCCTTTCCAAACTTGATATAATCAAGAAACGATTTTTTGAACCGTACAACTAATTTGCATTTCATAAATTATATTATCTTATCAAATTGCTATTATGATTTTCAGTTGAAATTTACGTTGTTCGAGGGTGGAATTCGTGGGACAGCTTGTATATATTCTCCGTTAATAAAAAATCCCTCTAGAGTCATTAATAAATTGATTCATATCACGGATTGGCTGCCAACGTTATATTCAGCTGCTGGTGGTAACTTAAATGATTTGAGAGAGGATTTAGATGGTGTTGAACAATGGTCTACTATCACTTCAGAAAAAGGAAAAGATAAGCGTAAGAGTGTATTATTAAATATTGACGAAGTGAGCAATACTTCTGCGGCGTTGATGAAGAGATACAAATTGATTAAAGGTAAGTAGAATCATGTATCACTTACACGTCAATATATAAATTAAAAATCATTCAATATTTAACTACACTATGCTTTGTGTACAAGCTTGAAGTGTTACAAACATACGAAAATTTTTAATCGATTTAACAATAAATTTCAATTAGTATAAGTATTTTTACATATAGGAGCAACAGCTTTATATGGTGATTATTATGGCGATAGTGGTGCAGATAAATCATATCCAGAATACAATATTTCAAGCATTCTACACTCCCCAACGGGTTCTGCTATTGCTAGTATATCAAATTATAAGTTAGATGCGAATAAAATATCTCAACTCCGAAAGAAAGCGATGGTTGTTTGCAAGAACTTTACGAGCTATCCAAAATGCTTTGACAAGTGTTTGTTTGATATCTATACTGATCCCTGCGAAACTACGGATTTGTCTTCCAAGTACCCATATGCAAGTATAAGATTTGCTTTGTATACTTTATATTATTAGAGCAAACATAAAAGTTCAGTTTACTATTCACAGATAGTTGACGAGATCGATAGCTACATCGAACAATACTATAAAGTTTTGATTCATCAAACGAATGTATCACCGGATCCAGCTTCCTACCCTGAACATTTTAATGGAACCTGGATGCCTTGGGTGAAATCATCAGAAAACGAAATTCTAACGGAAGCTATTTAGAATGTTATTAAAACTATGTAGCCTGCGCTGGAATACTAATTGAATAAAATTAAATTTCTGCATCTCTAAATATCTCTAATATAGAGTTTACGACGATCATATCTACGGATCCTAACCATTGAAATTAATTGCATGATCCAGTTTTACAGAAAAATATATTCGATATTACGTATATTTAATTGATGTGTGAAATATAATACCTGCACACGATGACACTAGCACATCCGTCGCTGATTTCTGCAGAAAACAGACTGGCTAGAGTACTGATCTCTTTAACGTTGTATACGCGATACGAACATACACGAGTATATCAATATCACGATCCTCCATGACAGTGAAATAAAACTTTCAGTCAAAGTTGGACACAATAAATGTAAAACTTTGATCCTGAATATTGATACACTAATTCGTCAAAGATAGATTTAAACTTCGTCCTATTAAATAAGTTTAGACTACGTCAAATAATATATCTGTGTACGCAAAAAGAAGTTCCGCCTGGATTCTCTTATTAAAGAGTAATTGCAGAACACATCATGTTCTATTCTACAGTAATATCATTATGTGAGCTTTACTCTTTTTGAATGCACGAGAATGATATATTATAGATTACAGTACAAAATTGGTATGAAACTTTTCCCTCCCTCTTTCTCTGCCTTTTACCCAGAATGAAGAAAGTATTCTTCAGTCGCAGTAAAACCTTTCGAGTGACATGTTTATTTCTATACTTCTACTTATTGTTGCATAGCAAAGACGCTACGTCAGTGTAAGTTTATCTATTATCAAATTATGTACCATTTTATTCCTAACTATTTATCTGTAAACAATAAGATTTTTTAAAATGTTACTAACGTATAGGCAATATCTAATAATCTGATTTTCGTATCCCAACGAAAGCTGTATATATTTCACATTCATGGCTGCGAAAAGTATAATCAGCGACTTAATGGAGACTTGTCTTCGCCTAACCGGCCTTTGGCCTAATTGCTCATATAAGATATTGAAATGTGGCATTTTGATGACAGTTTTGTTAACATTTGTGATACTTGAATACTGGTACTGTATAATTCATGTTAAAACTGAATCTATGGTGGATCAATTGGACAAATTAAGTATCGCATTTACCAACACGGTTGTTTTCGTAAAATTCGTTGCCATTTGTATTAAGCAAAGGTAAAACTGCAAGTTGTATATCCGTGATATAAAATCAAAATATTCTTACATGAAAATTAGCGATATTTAAAATGATTCATAAGCAATGTCTTTTGGAAAACAATTCCAACTTTACTCAATTAAATTGTTAACCGTACATGATTTTGTGCAGAGTTCTTGCTGAGACGCTCGCGATTATGGCTGAGGATTGGAATGATCTTGAACAATTCGATAGCGAAATAATGATACAAAAAGCTGCACTGTCTGCCCGTATCACTAAAATAACGCTAATGCTATTTTTCCCTACTGTCCCTTTTTACACAGCAACTATCTTTCTTGGTCCTAGCAACAACACAACAGAAAAAAAATTTTTGTTGGCCATGAACTTCCCATTCGAATCAACTAAATCACCTGTGTATGAAATAATAGTGAGCGTACAAGTGATCGCAGAATGGATATTCGCGATAATCGCAGGAATGTTCATGGCGTTGTCCACTACATTTGTAAGTGTCAATAATTCCTCTATTTTCATTTGTATAAAAAAATTGATTCTCTGTATCAGGTGATTCACGTAGCAGCTCGGATCGATGTAATCACTGAGAAATTGAAACAGGACTTAGATAGTCGAAACGAGAAAGAAGCACGTTTAACGAGCATGAGGAATATCATAGTGAAGCACGAAAGAGTGATCAGTCTATCGGAGAATATTGAGAACCTTTTTACAATGATTGCATTGGCACAGTTTCTTCTCGATATTACTGTCATCTGTTTTATCAGCTTTGTTCTTGTCACTGTGAGTAAGCACAAGTGCTAACTCGACTTTTTTACTATCTAAAACCTAACTGTTAACGCATGTTTGTTTTAAAGTCGTTGGATACTGGACAATTTTTCACGATATTATCCAGAACCTTTTCATACTATTTATCTATGAACTTTGAGGCCCTGATACTTTGCTACACTGGAGAATATCTTACCACAAAGGTACAACTAATGGTGTCACGGATCTTGCAATTGTTTAAATATTTCTAAACAATTGGAATACGTGAAGAATTTTTATAGGGTGAATACGTTGGTTGGGTGGCATATAATTCTAATTGGTATGATTTGAGTGTTCAAGAAACTCGTGCACTTTTATTAATAATACTGCGTTCGCAAAAGTCTTTGACTCTAACTATTGGGAAGTTTACGAATTTATCTCTTGTAACGTTTGCTAATGTAAGTACTCAGAAATGAAATCTAAATCATAAGCTTAAGAATTTGTTCACTTCATTCGACCTCTTGCAATTTAATAGTTGTACAAGTATAATAATTTTTTTAGATGCTGAAGGCTTCGGCTTCATACGTATCGGTCTTATACGCGATGGAGTGAAATGTTAATGGCAAATTACTGATTTCGAAGTGTTGACAAATGTCATACTACGACTAACAATAGTTACCAGAGCTAAGGACATTTGATCAGAAATGGCAAAGCTAACATGAATAAAATATTGTTAAATAAAAAATCTTATAAAGATTAAAATATTTGAAATATTAAACGATAAACTTATGTTTTCTTTGGCATTTTCGATAAACCGTTTTATTAATCAACGTTTCCTCAAACATTCTCTAATTATGCCAATCAATGATATTAATGGAAATATGCAATGGAATGAAACGTTAATTGATGTGTGAAATATAATACCTGCACTTGTTGACACTAGAACATCCGTCGCTGATTTCTGCAGAAAACAGTAGACTAGAGTAATGATGTCTCTAACGTTGTATACGCGATACGAACACACACGAGTATATCAATATCACGATCCTCCATCACAGTGAAATAAAACTATCAGTCACAGTTGGACACATCACATGTTGGACAGTAAAACTTTGATTCTGAATATTGATACACTAATTCGTCAAAGATAGATTTAAACTTCGTACTATTAAATAAGATTAGACTACGTCAAATAATATATCTGTGTACGCAAAAAGAAGTTCCGCCTGGATTCTCTTATTAAATAGTAATTCCGGAACACATCATGTTGTATTCTACAGTAATATCATTATGTGAGCTTTACTCTTCTTGCATGCACGAGGATGATATATTATAGATTGCAATGCAAGATTGTTATGAAACTTTTCCCTCCCTCTTTCCCTATCATTTACCCAGAATGAAGAAAGTATTCTTCAGTCGCAGTAAAACCTTTCGAGTGACATGTTTATTTCTATACTCATACTTATTGTTTGATAGCAAAGACGCTACGTCAGTGTAAGTTTATCTATTAACAAATTATATACCATTTTATTTCTATTCATTTATCTCTAAACAATAAGATTTTTTAAACTGTTACTAATGCATAGGTAATATCTAATAATCTGATTTTCGTATCCCACTGAAAGCGTATATATATTTAATATTCATGGCTGCGAAAAGTATAGTCAGCGACTTAATGGAGACTTGTCTTCGCCTAACCGGCCTTTGGCCTAATTGCTCATATAAAATATTGAAATGTGGCATTTTGATGACAGTTTTGTTAACGTTTGTGATACTTGAATACTGGTACTGTATAATTCATGTTAAAACTGAATCTATGGAGGATCTATTGGACAAATTAAGTGTTGCAATTTCCAACACTGTTGTTTTCACAAAATTCGTTTCCATTTGCATTAATCAAAGGTAAAATTAATAATTGCATATCGATGAGATAAAATCAAAGTATTCCTACACGAAAATCAGCGATAAACAATTCATAAGCAATGCCTTTTGGAAAATAATTCAATCTTTACTCAATCAAATTGTTAACCGTACATGATTTTATGCAGAGTTCTTGCTGAGACGCTCGCGATTATGGCTGAGGATTGGAATGATCTTGAACACTCCGATAGCCAAATAATGATAGAAAAGGCTGTACTGGCTGACCGTATCACTAAAATAACGCTAATGATATATTTCCCAACTGTTCCATTTTACACAGCAAGTATTTTTCTCAGTCCTAGCGACGATACAATAGAAAGAAAATTTTTGTTGTCCTTCCCATTCGATTTAACTAAATCACCTGTGTATGAAATAGTAATAAGCGTACAGGTGATCGCAGAATGGATATTCGCGATAATGGCAGGAATGTTCATTGCGTTGTCCACCAACCTTGTAAGTGTCAATAATTCCCCTATTTTCATTTGTATAAACAAATTGGTTCTCTGTTTCAGGTAATACATGCAGCAGCTCGGATCGAAATCATAGCCGAGAAATTGAAACAGGATTTGGATAGTCGAAACGAGAAAGAAGTACGTTTAACGAGCATGAGGGGTATCATAGTGAAACACGAAAGAGTGATCGTTCTATCGGAGAATATTGAGAGTCTTTTCACGATGGTTGCATTGGCACAGTTCCTTTACGACATTATCGTCATGTGTTTTATCGGTTTCGTGCTTGTCACTGTGAGTAAGCACAAGTGCTAACTTGACTTTTTTTAACCATATAAATCTTATGTGTTTAAAGCATGTTTGTTTTAAAGTCATTGGATACTGGACAATTTTTCACGGTACTATCCAGGACCTTCTCATACTATCTAGCCATCAACTTTGAGGCCCTGATACTTTGCTACACTGGAGAATATCTTACCACGAAGGTAAGACCAACGATTTTACATATCTTGTAATTGTTTAAATATTTCTAAACAATTGGAATAGGTGAAGAATTCTTGTAGAGTGAATACGTTGGTTGGGTGGTGTATAATTCTAATTGGTATGATTGGAGTGTTCAAGAGACCCGTGCACTTTTATTAATAATACTGCGTTCGCAAAAGTCTTTGACTCTAACTATTGGGAAGTTTACGACTTTATCCCTTGTAACGTTCGCCAATGTAAGTACTCATAGAAATTAAATCTAAATCAGGAGCTTAAAAACTCCTTTCCCTAATTCGATCTCTTGCAACCTAATAGTTGTACGACAAGTATAATAATTTTTCTAGATGCTGAAGGCTGCGGCTTCATACGTATCAGTCTTATACGCGATGGAATGAAACGTTAATGGCAAATTACTAATTTCGAAGTGTTAACACATGTTATACTACGATTAACAATAGTTATCAGAGCTAAGCAAGTTTTATCAGAAATGGCAAAGCTAACATGAATAAAATGTTGTTATGTAAAAAATCTCATTCAGATTAAAATATTTGAAATATTAAACTTATGTTTTCTTCGTCACGTTCGATAATCCGTTTTATTAATCAACGTTTCCTCAAACATTCTGTGATTACGCACTATTATCAACCAAGGATATTAATGGAAATATGCAATGGAATGAAATGCTAATGATTAATGAACAGATGCTACGTTACGATGACGAAGTAGCAAGCGTCCAATAATAATTGACTCTAGTTACTATGATAGGGTGATGCGCAATTCTAATCGATTGCAACGATAATGCAAATAAAATGATTTTAATTAAAAATCCTATTAATTTCATTTTCTTAAAACATACAATTTAGCAACTATCAACTATTGATATTTTACATAATTATATATCGTATGTATTTGTTCCTTTCCAGATCAATAGCTACATCGAAGAATACTATAAAGTTTTGATTCATCAAACGAATGTGTCATCGGATCCAGCTTCCTACCCTGAACATTTTAATGGAACCTGGATGCCTTGGGTGAAATCATCAGAAAACGAAATTCTAACGGAAGCTATTTAGAATGTTATTAAAACTATGTAGCCTGCGCTGGAATACTAATTGAATAAAATTAAATTTCTGCATCTCTAAATATCTCTAATATAGAGTTTACGACGATCATATCTACGGATCCTAACCATTGAAATTAATTGCATGATCCAGTTTTACAGAAAAATATATTCGATATTACGTATATTTAATTGATGTGTGAAATATAATACCTGCACACGTTGACACTAGCACATCCGTCGCTGATTTCTGCAGAAAACAGACTGGCTAGAGTACTGATCTCTTTAACGTTGTATACGCGATACGAACATACACGAGTATATCAATATCACGATCCTCCATGACAGTGAAATAAAACTTTCAGTCAAAGTTGGACACAATAAATGTAAAACTTTGATCCTGAATATTGATACACTAATTCGTCAAAGATAGATTTAAACTTCGTCCTATTAAATAAGTTTAGACTACGTCAAATAATATATCTGTGTACACAGAAAGAAGTTCCCCCTGGATTCTCTTATTAAATAATAATTGCAGAGCACATCATGCTCTACTGTACTGTACTATCATTATTTAAACTTTACTCTAGTTGAATGCACGATGATGATATATTATAGATTGCAATGCAAAATTGGTATGAAACTTTTCCCACCCTTTTTTCCTTTCTTTTACCGAGAATGAAGTAAGTATTCTTCAGTCGCGCTAAGACCTTTCGAATGACATGTTTATTTCTATACTCATACTTATTGTTTGATAGCAAAGACGCTACGTCATTGTAAGTTTATCTATTAACAAATTATATACCATTTTATTCCAATTCATTTATCTCTAAAGAATAAGATTTTTTAAACTGTTACTAATGTATAGGCAATATCTAATTATCTGATTTTGGTATTCCAACGAAAACTGTATATATTAATATTCATGGCTGCAAAAAGTATAATCAGCGACTTAATGGAGACTTGTCTTCGCCTAACTGGCCTTTGGCCCGACTCCTCATACAGGATATTGAAACGTACCGCTTTCATAACAGTTTTGTTAACGTTTGTGATACTTCAATTCTGGTACTGTATAATTCATGTTAAAAATGAATCTATGGTGGATCTATTGGACAAATTAAGTGTCGCAATTTCCAACTCGGTTGTTTTCGCAAAATTCGTCGCCATTTGCATTCATCAAAGGTAAAATCAATAATTGTATATCGATGAGATAAAATCAAAATATTCTTACACGAAAATCAGCGATAAACAATTCATAAGCAATGCCTTTTGGAAAATAATTCAATCTTTACTCAATCAAATTGTTAACTGTACATGATTTTATGCAGAGTTCTTACTGAGACGCTCGCGATTATGGCTGAGGATTGGAATGATCTTGAACAGTCCGATAGCCGAATAATGATACAAAAGGCTGCACTGGCTGACCGTATTACTAAAATAACGCTAATGATATATTTCCCTACTGTCCCATTTTACACAGCAACTATTTTTCTCAGTCCTAGCGACGATACAACAGAAAAAAAATTTTTGTTACACTTCCCATTCAATTTAACTGAAACACCTGTGTATGAAACAGTAGTAAGTGTACAAGTGATCGAAGAATGGATACTCTCGTTGACCGCAGGAGCATTCATGGCATTGTCCACCACCCTTGTAAGTGTCAATAATTCCTCTATTTTTATTTGTATAAAAAAATTGATTCTCTATGTCAGGTGATTCATGTAGCAGCTCGGATCGAAGTAATCACCGAGAAATTGAAACAGGATTTGGACTGTCGAAACGAAAAAGAAGCACGTTTAATGAGCATGAGGGGTATCATAGTGAAACACGAAAGAGTGATCGTTCTATCGGAGAATATTGAGACTCTTTTCACGATGGTTGCATTGGCACAGTTTCTTTACAATACTATCGTCATGTGTTTTATCGGCTTCGTGCTTGTCACTGTGAGTAAGCACAAGTGCTAACTTGACTTTTTTTAACCATATAAATCCTATGTGTTTAAAGCATGTTTGTTTTAAAGGCGTTGGATACTGGACAATTTTTCACGGCACTATCCAGGACCTTTTCATTCTATCTATCCGTCAACTTTGAGGCCCTAATACTTTGCTACACTGGAGAATATCTTACCACAAAGGTACGACTAATGGCGTCAAGTATCTTGCAATTGTTCAAATATTTCTAAACAATTAGAATACGTGAAGAGTTTTTATAGGGTGAATACGTTGGTTTGGCGGCATATAATTCTAATTGGTATGATTTGAGTGTTCAAGAGACCCGTGCACTTTTATTAATAATACTGCGTTCACAAAAGTCTTTGACTCTAACTATTGGGAAGTTTACGAATTTATCTCTTGTAACGTTCGCTAATGTAAGTAATCACAGAAATTAAATCTAAATCACACGCTTAAGAACGTTGTAAGACAAGTATAATAATTTTTCTAGATGATGAAGGCTTCGGCTTCATACGTATCAGTCTTATACGCGATGGAGTGAAATGTTAATGGCAAATTACTGATTTCGAAGTGTTGACAAATGTCATACTACGACTAACAATAGTTATCACAGTTAAGCACATTTTATCAGAAATGGCAAAGCTAACATGAATAAAATGTTATTAAATAAAAAATTTCGTTCAGATTAAAATATTTGAAATATTGAACGTTAAACTTATGTTGTCTTGCTTACCTTCAATAAACCATTTTATTAATCTGTCTCCTCTCAAGCATCTCCTGATTGCACTCACCAATGACACTAATGCAATTGCATATTATTAGCAATATGCGGATAATAAAATGAACAAGCCGTTCGATATAGACACACGAAAATGAAGTAGAATATGCCATGATACCATGGCGATAACAAAAAAGACGTTACGATACCAAAAACGATAAAAATTCCGTAACCATGGTTTATCATACGCAATTACCTTATTAAGTTAGTTGTTTCAAGTATAGAAATAGAATAAGAAGAAATATTTAATGGTGAAAGAATGCATTCCTACCTTTATCTTCTTCTTCTTCCTTGCCTCTCACGGTCCGATCGGTCCGGAAATGTTCGTCTGATCCTATTACAGTGTCCTTATAAATCACAATACCCATTATTCCACTTTGCGTACAAAGATCACAATATTCACCACCAGTAATATAAATGGATATAAATGACTCACGACTGGGTATTAATCGTTCGGCGAACTAACTTAATTAACGGTCTTTCCCTCGTTTTTAGTCAGACGCCGAACGTTTCTGGAACGTTTTTACGCGACGTGTCGCCCCCTTTTCAATCGCGCGTTAATTATTAGTTACGACCGTTTACACAGATTGCAGTGTACATCCCCATGGTGAGTTGTGGGCAATCCATGTTGTTCGGTGGGTTTTATTATGGGTGCGTAGTGAATTATTTAATAAGTGTATCACAAACAATACGACGCAATTGTTATTTATACTGTCAGCCATCCTGGGGTGAATTGACGTGAACCGAACTGCTACACAGTACGTATTACTTCGGAATGGTTTCAAGACAGAATAAAAAGAGCCACTTCTCTATGCCAAGTAAGATTTATTGTTAGAGTATAATCCTTAGTCAACTTATTATTTACATCGTAATAAATATGCCTATATGTCTAACATGTCACAGCGTTGCCTGCTTCCTATCAAAAGTTCGTTTCTGATCTTTGGTGACGATTGCGAATGTTTATGCATTCACGGATGCATTATGATGTTAAGTAACCTTCGGATTCCATGTTTTCAAGTAAAAGAAAATTGTATTTTGCATAAAAATCCACAGTCTCGTTCTTTTAATTCATCTCAGGTCAAAGATAAACGCATGTCTGTGTTCGAACAATGTAAACAGGCAGCAGCTGCGATTATCTATTTGTCATATCGAAGACTTTAATAAATATAGCAGTTGAGATAAATAAGGGTTTTATTTGTTTAAATATTATTATTACATGTACGTTCTAATTAAGTACCTTTATCATCGATGATCAATTACTTGTAATAATTTTCGAAAACGTGTTTTGCATTGTTTCAATTGAAATTATTTGTACTACACAATTGAGTCTTGAACGTAAGTTTCGTTACTTATAGAGAGTCCCTGGAGAATATTAATTCGAATACATTTGTTATTGTTCGGCGAAGACGTTAGGTGTACAAATAAGTTCCCCTGGTTTTAATTGGAAGCATGAATACTGATGCACACAGAGTTAATGAGGACTTTTTAATGAAGAACTCGTGGAACGAGTAAATGTTGATTGATGAACGAATGAGTCAGTTCTTATTGGCACACTGTTACGTCGTCTCGTATACAAGACCTGAAGTCGAAAGTTGGTCGCGAGAATTTATTTGTACGTCTAATAAGTGGGATACCGATACGAATTCGCGTGAATTCATTTGCACTCGTAGGTTTTCATGACTCTTCTGCAGGTCTTGCACTTTACGTAACAGCAACTGATATACTTGCAATCGCATCGTTCCAGTACCTCTTCCGTCTTCGTTATATGCCCCCGACCGCAACAAAGGTACTCGCAACCCTCGTATCCCGTACTGCTACCGTTGCATTGTCTGAAAATATAATACATATAATCAACAATGCTCCCAATGCAACAGTTTTCTGTTAATTGTAATGCATTTACAATAACCCTGTGTACGAAGCTTGCTTTCTCGTAACAGGAGATAGATGTCAGCTAGTTATTAGTATTTCATTTATGTAAATGAGATTCGTACACGGTTCTGTCATATTTCGTAGTAGGGACTGTACGTGCACAGTGTGAAGAAAAAACGGTTCCTAAAAGTATACGACGAAGTAGTCGAAAGCGTCCCGTAATAAACATTCACCACGCCCACTTTGTATAATTATACCGAAGGGCTATAATTACTGGTTTTGAGGCTGCAGGCCATTCACGATCAGTGGTGCTCGGAGAGAAACCTGGTACCATACATTATCCGAAGGGAATGAAATATTAACCTGTCCAAAAGTAGCATCTGATAAGTTTGCGAATTGCATAAGAATTTGTCTTATTCATGAGATTTCCTTGATCGTGCATTCAACTAAAAACGATTTACAAGAGAAAACGTGTACAGGGTCATCCAAAACTGATCTGTTTCAGCACAATTTAGTTTCCCTTCTGACTGTTCTTAACAGGATATTGAAATATTCTGTGTATGCAAATGATACTAGATCGTTTGACGAAAAACGTGGAAATATATAAATAATTAATGGTGTGCTTTCTATTAAAATTTTAACAAATGTGTCTCGAGAATGAGAAGGAGAGAGAGAGAGAGTAATGGTGGTTTGAAATATCGTAAAGCAGAGGATTTATTCGAATTGGAGAACAGGTTTTCCGATTTGGAAAAATGTTATCCCACCCTAACTCGGAGGTCTTCTCTCATAGATAATTACCAAGTCAGTCGCATAAATAAACCGAGTATCTGAAGATAACTGAGATCGAGGAGTGGAATTCATTGTGTGTGGCTGCATAAAGAGGACAGGCCGAGAGTAGATTGGATGCACCGCATCACACTATTTTATTAGCGCGAGATAAAGATTAGTTGACTAGCTCGAAGACAGAAATAAACGCTACGATCATCTCCAATCGCGGATCGTAAACTCTTTTCAAATATCACGGGTATCGTTTTAATGTCGAGTATCAGTTAGATTTTTTATTATACAATTATCAATACCGTCGTTTCTATTGTAAATTCAATTTGATACGCGTGATGCTGTTTCAAGCGATATATCCTTTCTCATAAAGTCAGAGCGAGAGTACGCGTTGATGAAATTAAAAGATAAGTAACGACGATATTGGTACTTGCACATTTATAATTTAGCCGTTCTATTTCAATCATCTAAAGTAGATGCTTGATGTGATTATTTTTATATAAATGAAGCTTTTTAGTTAGCTTCAATATTCAAGATCCGCAGTCTAGTGATATCGATTGGCATTTCATATAACACATGCTAGAATCGTTTGATTACAAAATAATGGTTTTAAAAATAAATTTACGATTCAATCCGGTTGACAATCGATATTGTACACAATTTATTGTGTATAGATTCTTCCAATTGGATTTATAGTTATGATACGTGGTGTAGGTGTTTTATCATTTTATCTACGTCCAATTTTACGACTATCCTACGTACGTACGTACATAAACAGGTATAGGTAATGGCATTGTCGCGATTCTTAGCAAGAGCCATTGACAAGCTTATTGTAAAACCTTTATATAATTAAGCTAAAAAAGTATGCAATATTTTATTCTCGGTTTTCTTAACACGATTTCTTATGATACATTTCTGTATCACTTGGTGCATTTGAAATTTAATACGTGTAAATATACTTATGGGACTAGCTGTACTCACTGTCAAGAGAAAAGCTATAGAGAAGGGTGGGGATACGATTGTCACAGGGAGAGCGAAACAATCGCTAGTAAACCGGTACGAAACCGGTCTTATGTTACCTATCAGCCGTATATACAGTAAAAGGATAGAAAAGGAAATTTGATTTACCTGCCAACGGTCCCGAGACTGCCTTTCCTTTTGTCCGGTAGACAATAGTCGGGGCTTTTGGTGGTATACAGCAGATTATCGTGATGATACAAGGGTGGTAACCTGCCGCCTGATCGCGGTCGGACTTCCGCCGCCGTTGCGTATCTCCGGAGCAGCCGACTCCCGGCTGCCGCCGGCCCCGAGGAACCCAAGCCTCGCCAACAGGTTCGCACGCTACACGACCCGGAAACTCCGTGACATTTGCACTCGAGGATCAAAGACTGTTCGACCGCCTAATAGAAACAAAAACAATTTTATATATCAATCTATTTGTATAAATATTTTCTCTCTAAAAGCATTTACTCTTCTTGAAACAGGCTATAAAATTGCTTCGTACAATTTTCATCTGAACTTCTAATGAAAAGTATGCCACGTTTTACATCGATTGAAGAGGGAATAATTGGAAATCTGAATTACCCTTCGACCCGCCCGGTTGTTGTGCATGTTAACGGCGTGCATGAACTTGGCCGTTGCACCTGTGCCAGGAGGAGTCGCACCTTGGAGGAACCTCTTCGCCATCCGAGACGCGGACTTCACGTCGTCGCCACAGCCACCCCATTTGAACGAGTTCCTGGAGGACAGCGTGCCGAAGGAGACGGACGTAGCAGTAAAGGACGAGGGTGAGATCAAGGCGGAAGGCAACGGTGGTTCCCTCCGAGGCGGCGTGGCGCAGGAGCAGGCGGCCAGGTTGCCCAGAGCACACCCCCTCGCTAGCCTCCACACCGCAGCTGCTGCTGACATCGCATACACAAACGCTTGTTCCCTGGTCCCTGTAGATTTTTTTATTCTCAGTTAACATCCAGACAAATGCTTTTATTCAGCCTTATTTCGGTCCACAGTAAGCTCTCAATTATCTTTAATACAATGCTTGTAGGAAAGTAATTTCTCCCATAATTTAAACACTGCATAGACGTGACTGTGCTGTCCATTTTCTTATGGACGTTTCATTCATTTTTGCATGCGACAAACATTATTCATACTTTTTGTATGATACGTTTCCTGTAAAATCTGAATACTAGATATTTCGCTCGACTCGCGGGACTGAGAAAGTCGTTTAACAAGATTCTAATTTCGTTACGTAAGAAGCTTTGGCAACTATCGTATAAAGTGTTTCTGAATGAATTGGGTCGAGGGCGTCAAAGCGATCGCGCGATTTTCCATTAAATAAGAAGTCCGCAGGCAATTAACGAAGGGAACTGAAAATCTGTAATAACCGGGGGGCTCGCATATAGTGATTCTGGCTTTAAAATGCTATTCACGGCGCGCGGACGGTCTCAAATAATTGAAGGAAAGCTGATTAGCGTGACGGCAAAAGGGGCAGCTCTTCTGGCAATATCGGGGGATCGCGCGTTTTTCATCGTCACTCCGAAATTCTCAACTCGGGAGCTTCTCAGTTTTCTCATTAACGGAGGATATTCGGTATTGCCGGGGTACACTTTTATTTACAATATAATTATCGTCAAATGCTCGTGGTTAATCCGACAGCGGACTAGAAAGGATGGAAGGAAGGAAGCCGCCAAGGTTTGATAATCACCACTAATTGAGCCGCTTCAGGCGAGTCTTCCTTCCCTATTTACCGTGAATTTCTTCGAAAAAGGATATCCGATACTTATTTCAAGTCTCGTATCCTATAGCCCCAGTACTATCCTCTTTACGTCACGAAATTATCAAATTTTCCGGCTGACTTTTACGGCAAAGTTAAAAGTAGAACCTGTCGTATACATATGTCTTTCTTTTTTATACTTACACACGAGCTGTTGCGCTCCATTGCGATTGGAGAACTACTTTGATATTTGAATTATTGCCAATTCACGAGTGTTAGTTATTCACTTTCTCTGATCACAGTCAATTCATGCGACGAGGTAACAAATACATTACGAGATCTCAAAGCATATCGAATCAATGCGTCTCGCTCGCTATAATTCATACCCGGAACGCGAATCAAACAGTCGTAACGAAATTTATTGCACGATATCGTTAGTCAGCTTTACGCGTAACCGTGATAAATGGAATTTTGATGTCCACTCATAAAATAATGATTCATACGTTAGTTTTCCTAGTTCTTCATTAACGTACCGGTGAGCAGTTCGGGGGTGTAATCAGGCGCGCGTTCGATGCTGCTGCAGTTCCACCTACGATGTCGGAATACTTGCTGACAGACCACCGAGGTGTCCTTCGCTGCTTGCACCAGGCTAGACATCACGTCTGGCGTTGCCCTGCAAGCCCTTGCCTGCTTTCTCTCCAGGAGTCCAGAAATCTTCGCACCGGTGCAGGCCTCCCTCGTCCACGTGTACCCATTCTCGGTACGCCCGAGAGCTCTAATTCATTTGACATGGGAAAATATTTTCAAATGGACAGAAATAATTATTCGTTCCATTGTTTCCTGAAACGAAGAGACTTGAACGCGAACAATCGTACGATACTTTTTCATTAATCAATAAATTCATAAATATAAACCAGAAGCGTACTGCTCTGTATTTACTTGAATGGCAGAAAGGGGAAGGTGGAACGGTAGGTTGAAAATCGCGGAGCGAGAGAAGAAGTAAACTGTCCGTAGCCGGGTTCGGTTCGGGCACGGTCGTAAATCAGGGGTGAATTTGGAAAATTATAGAGCGTGAAGCTGAAAGGTGGGTTTAAGCGGCGCGGGTGGATACGTGCGGCAAACTGTACCGTAGGATAATTACGGACACCTGAAAGTCGGAATGGCTTCAGCACGGATACGTCTAGACGTAACAGCCCTGGGAATGGCCAGCTCGCCAACCCCCTGTCACCGACCTACCCTCGAAATTACCCTATCAAAAGGCCGTACGTCTAATTCATTATTCCATGCCGACTGTCGTTCCCAACGTGTCCGCGCGTCACGTGCTCGTCTTCGCAATCCACCAGAACTGGGACAATCGTAAACCCCTACACATCTCCCATTTTCATGGCGGTTTTAACGCTCTTGCCTCCAACATCGAACTCACAAATAGGTTTCAATCGTTCTCTCGTTGAAATACGTGCGAACGAAATATACCGAGCTCGTCGAATAACGAATTCTACGATTTTCCTCTCGTATAAAAAGATCAGAACGACAGATGCAAGCCAATCCTCTGAACTACTGTTGGCGTCGTTCGTAATTCGTTCAGACTTGTTGCATAGTAGGTGGTAACGCGAGAACCTGGGTGTGCACAACTGAGAATAGTTTAAGTTCATTGGCTAATTGAAACGGTTATCGATACGATATGTACTCCGCGCGTGAATAACGAGTCGCAACAAATCTAAACGCGAACCACAGATTGGATAGCGAGCACTTTCTGTCACGCTCTTTACGACCACGAGTGATTTACCAACGCGTCTTTCGTCACCGAAGCTGATTAATCGTATCCCCAGTCTAGTTTAGTATATCGCACTCCTGCGTTTGATTTATTGCGTCTAATAACAAGAAAGTGTACAATAAGCTTTCCAAGCTAATGTTACAATCGTAGATTCAATATAACAACATTTCTACGTATCCTGAATTTCAATCAGCCATTCTAGTTTAAACGATCTCGCGCGTGGAGAAAATTTTATGTCAATCGAATTTGATCAGCAGATTGCAGCTACATATAATTACGTGTAAACTGGACGGTCAGTTATGAATAATTGAAATGATTTGCATAATTGTAGGACCGATCTATCAAATGCAGTGCTGTCTCGGTTCTTTTTCAAAGTGCCACGGGGACAAGCTTATCCTTGTAGGAAGTTCACGGTCGTTCACTGGTGTACGCATTCTTATGAAAATGTGACTCGGTTTCAATAAAACTGGCCGATGTACATACATTTGGAAACATCCGCACGCTCGGATAATCCCAGTGTCGGCTGCAATTTCGAAATTCGTTTTGACTGGTTCCATCGTAAACTGGGGTTTTTACGGGACTGATAATAAGTCGGCGATCACCGGAGGCTCTGCCGTATGCGTACCGCGTACGTATATGGTCACCAGGTGACCTCCAGTGAAAGCGGAAATTATAGTACAGCTAACAGCAGATCCGTTAACCCTTTAATCATCCAGCTTTCAATCATTTAGTCCTTAGTAATTTTTAATTAGACCGCAAAATATTAGATTGTCTTGTTTAGATTTAATTAAATTAATTCATCAGTTGCCTTTAACGCGATCGAGGATTAAATTTAGAAATGTGTCATTGATCACTTGTTAAGGAGAGATATGCAAAAGTTTCTGTCTATGAAATATTCACTGTATATTTTCATCGATCATCATCCGGCTTCGGAATTCCTGTGGGAGGGACAAGACGCATAATTCCAAAATTGGCTTTCACATATAGGTCGTAAAACACGATGTTTACAAGCGTGATAATGATCCGAGTTCCCGAGGTTCTTTGAATACTTAAAAACCGATCATCCTCGAATTTATGAGGACGTAACGGATCGATATTTCGAGGAACTCGGCTCACAATGTAGAATTCCGGTACATTACGCCACTGCAAGTTAATTAGCGTCAATTGATTAATTAACGTTGGCCACAGTTATTATATGAATTTATAGCTAAAATTATATCGTATTACCCTCGTGCACGTGGACGCAGTCTAAAGAAATTCAACTAAAGATAAATGAAATAAATCAAAGAAATAAGAAATGTAATATACCAAAATACGATGATAAATTCTTTTTATTCGAATATGTCTTATGGCATGAAAGACGTCTAATTGGGCGATGATGCCCCCTGCGATGCACGAGAATCATGCAACGGATGATTTATGAGCTACGAATTCGAGATTAGTGTAACACGTTCGGGTTTTATAAATAGCATCATACTAGTTCAGAATCCTTGTACAAGTCCTAATAGAAGAGCTGACGGATTCGACGCGTATAATCATTTTTTACTATATGATTAATGAACGTATTGATTGGGGAGTCAAAGTTCAAAATTTGCACATCGTGAAGAATGATTTGCAGGGTACATAAAATAGCAAGAGTGCAAGCTCTGCACCTTCTTTAACAAAGTATAGAAAACAGTCAATAAATATTTTATCAACTGAAAGACGTTATCGAAAAACTATGGTAGATATTGCAGGATGGACTGTACAGGTCCTAAGCGAAGATTATAAACAAAAGAGAGTACAGAAGTACACGGGGATTAGAGGATGGAAAGGGCTCGGAGTGACGGGGCAGTAGTCCGAGGTGAAGCTTCTTGGAAAGGGCGTTTATAAATCACGAATCGCAGGCAACCCCTAATCTTCCAACCCCGTTCTAGCTGTGCCGTCTTCCTCTCGTACTTTTCTCCCTGTCCCGTATTTTGGTTTTGCACGCGAAACCACCATCACTCCTCCATTCATCATCCGACGCCGTGCGTCATTCTCTCTCTCTCTCTCTCTCTCTCTCTCTCTCTCTCTCTCGCGTTCTGTTTTTTTTTTCCCCTTTGACTCGATCAAAGACGTGCCTCGAACGGAACAATTAACGTAACGTTTGTACGCGTGCAAAATACAAAGAATCCAAGGAACGCGTGTTTCTTTGCTATAACAGTTAATCCGATTCTATACTTTTCATATTATTTTATATAGAATAAATGATAGGATCGGTCGGATAAATGACCTGCGGGGTAATTCGATGTTTCTATGACGCACAGTAAAGATGATAACTATAATGGTGAACGATGTATCGGAGAAAGAAAGCTTGTAAAAATCGAAGCTGGTCAGAAATGAGGCATGGATTAATTGATACTGAATTAAGGCGGGAATCACGGCGCGGAGAAGGTTCCGCGAAGGCTGCGCCCGCGCCCGAAGGAAAGATTAATCGCGTGGAACGTTTCGCCGAAACGAGGGAGAACTTTCGGAGAATTGATGATATACGCGGTTGATTATGTTTGATGATTTTTACTCGTTTGCCGTATCGATCCACGCCACCATTCAACAATTCTCGCGTAACACAGATATCAGAGTACCGTATGGATGTCGATGGACGGGACAAAGTTTATTGTATATAAATCAAGTCCATTCTGAAACCTTAAAAAGAGAGAATTACAATAAAATCTACATACGTAACGTAGATATTTCTACGAGTTTACGAAAGTAATTTTAAAATACGCATGCAATTGCTCGCGTGAATTATATTGCATATCTAATTCTGTGAATCTTCTTACCGGTTTTACAGTTACAGCAATTTGAAGTGGTTTATCAGAGAAAGAAATACTCGTTCGGTAAATACAATTTATTCTCGTTAAAAATTATTGTTCCGTACGAGAAAAGAGTATCAAACGATCCTTGCTCTTCATTTCCATTCCACTACTCGTGCAGACACACATACTTCTCTTAGACAGTAACCTATTTGTTTCTCATTAACGGGTCTGCATTAATCTTTGGTCTCCTCCGGAGCCCTTGCGAATAAATATGAAATGGCTCGGGCTGCTTGTTACCGAAGGATTCACGCAGCCTCGACAGAGCACAGCTCTTTCTGCCCCGTTCCAATCCCCTTATTATTACCGCACCCATTCAATAAAGACGCGCGATTATTTCGTTTTGTAACTGATTAATGATTCCGACGTGTCTTGTACAATAGACGAGAGTTTCAACGCGATTCCAATCCTTTTGGAATAAATTATTGACATGATTTAAGAACGCGCAAAAACGAGATAAATTATATGAATTACATACGTGATACGTTTTCACGAATTTCATATCTACGATTTAACGTACGAGGTAATGCAACTTACAGCCACTTGATGCATTTGCCACCTTGGATCAGTAACAGAAACAAGAACAGCCAGACTTGAGCATCGCTTCTCTTCGGTACCACCATCTTCGTTCACTTTACATTCTAGAAAATTGCCATTGTTCCTCGCGCGGCGTTCATCAAATGTTTCAATTCCGATCGAGCTTTACACGCACGTTGGGACGTTAATACTTGTCTCGATGTACGACGAAACTTATCAGACTCGATCGCGGTACCCCCGAATCGTTCATTTTCAAGCAAAAATCTATTCGTTAAATAGACCAAAATATCATTTCTATTTGTTCGAATTAGAACAAAGATCATTCGATCTAGTTTACTCGGTAAACGAAACGATGCGATTTTCAATTAAAATGTTCCAAGTACCAACAACTTTTTTTACGTCGGATTGAGACACTTAATGAAACGAAGGTACACTCAGGGCACATGCACTGTCACTGGGGGATTGATCGTAGGAGCACGTAGACAACGCGCTTGTATATCCTAAATGATCGGCGACCAACAGATAGACACGGTGTTCCCGGTTCGGAGAAGTTTCCTTCGCACCGTTTCCGCGGCGCAGAGAGTCTGCGTGGTTACAGGTGTCCGTCGGGCGTCGAGCCATCCCGCAGGATTTGCCGCGCGCCGTGGAGGTGGAATCCTCCTACTACTGCCTGCCTACCTACTCTATTTCCTTCTACTTCAACTACTCGTTTTTCGCTGCAGGACCGGCCACGGGGATGCCGAGCGAATTGTGAAACACGCAACGCATCCGACTGGTCGACGATTGTGAACATCGTCAGGGTTCAGGGATGGTCGAGCGATCCTTCGATTAAAATGAATAATATCAATTATGCCATTGATTCCGTGTTCATCTGCGAACGCAGCAAATTGCTCTCGCACGTGAAATAATTTTATCATCACTGGTTTTGACGATTTAATTAAATGTAATTATGCAATATAATTGGAAGCTCTGTTCGTAACGATTCTGTAATTCGATAAATATTTCGTTGAAGGAAATGGCAATCTGAACGAGAATTGAATCGAACTTCGGTTTTTTAGAATCCTAAAAAAGTCTAGAGTATCTTAAAGTAATTAGAGAGATTTTATGGAAGAGAGAAAATTCTCGAGGAGCCATAAGGGCTGGCAAAAAGTTCATCGGCTGGGAACTAACTCTACTTTTTCAGTCGTTATTATATACGGATTATGCAGATGAGAGACGCCGTCGTTCCGAAATGCCTTGATATCAATTTAATTGCCCGGTATCGAATTAATTCCGTGGTCAGATGGCAAAGATGCGATGCGTTCAATATCCATTCGAGTTCCTAGCAAAATATCCTAATTATTTCTGCGGCATAAAGCTGAGAAATGTTGCTGTGCATGTTTCTTTTTCGATGGTCGCTGGCATCAAATGAAAAGAACTCGTGATTTATCTTTAAAAAAATTCACGCTTGTGGTTCGTTTAGCAATTTGTTTATTTGTTTATTTGCCGGTATGACGTGCGTCCAGTCGGCTTTGTGCGTAATCGCGAAGGGAATTGAAAGAGCGGCAGGGAGGAGGGTGGGACGGGAGGCAACTTTTGCGATCGCGCGAGGCGAGGGTGGTTTGAGATTTAAGTCGCTTTTAATAGCCAAGCAGCTGTCGCCGGATCTGTTTGCCCTCTTTTTATGGTAGACATCTTGGACCGAATAATGGAAGGAAATAATCTGGGACGAAAGAAGTGGTCATCCGGCGCAGTCTTCTTCCGCCGATAAACTCACTTCGTTAGTTTGCGTAACGAACCCGGCTCGTAATTTCAACGAATTCATTTAACGTTCCAACTATAATTCCTTAATTCGAATATACTTTATTTATGCTACAATGGCGTTTAATCGAATGTTTAAACAAATACGTTTAACAGCATCGAAGCGAAAATAATTGAAACCTGAATGCAAAACACTAAGTTGCCTAGAACTGTTGCAGCGTTCGGTACGTAAACCGTAGCGCCCGAATTCATCCACGGTTCCCACGTGTCGTTCCTTCTCCTAGGATCGGCCAGCCAGTCGACGGGAATTTTTACTTGTCTCTTCAAAAACCGTCCGCAACGTTCCAAATAATCATCCAAAGTCTTCGCAATCTGACGCGTCAAACAACAAGCAAAATTTACTCGACAGGTAATTTGGAAATATTCTAATCGATTTCGAATTAACACTAGAAAGACTGAAACTTAGTACATACCTATATTGCCCAAAGCAGTCAAAATGACTGCATTGTGAAAGAATAAATTTATGCATTATTATTTGTACATTTGCCCAAAAGCAGTCAAAATGACTTCCTTGGGCAATCTAGTGTTAAAGCTTCTCACCTTGGAATACGATTCGGCAACGTTCTTAGTTTCACAAGGATCCTGCAATGTATCGAACAGACATTCGGTCACGTTGCAAGTCGTGTACACGTGTCTATGGTAGTTGGCCGAGTTTTGGTAACACCTGACCGTTGCTTCCTGTCGTAATCGCGCTATCGTGGTCGGTTGTGTCACTGGACCACCCAGGTAATTATTTATAGTTTGAGAAACCGAGCTTTTTATTATCAAGTCCGTATACGACGGCGCGTCTAATGGCCTCGCGTCGAATGGCCTCCCATATAAAATCCCCGCATCGCCATGGTATCCGTCGTAATAACCATTATCGACGGTACCTGCATCGATTTCATTAAACGAGCGAACAATCGAAACTGTATCTATTATATAATCTATTGTAAATTATTTATTTATTATCACTTACCTCGCAACAGTTTGAAACGACTGTATATAGCACCTTCGGTCTTCGTCAGTTCATTGATATTTAACAAAAGTTTGTCTCTGCCACTTCCGCGATTCTCGCTGAGCACGTGCCATTGATTCACGCCGTCGATCACACCGAGATCCTTCAGATCTCCACCGGCCGCGACATAAAAAGTCGGTAGCCAGTCTGATATATGCACCAACTGATTTGATACGCGTGCAGTCTTTTGCAACCTCGGTGACCATATGGCCGCCACGCCTCTCACGCCTCCCTCGTACAAAGTGTACTTCGTCTATAATGAAATTTTGCATTTTCGGTGAGCCTGCTGAAGAAGAAGCGAAGCGAACGCGACGGAATCTTGAAACGTTTCTGAGAAATAAATACAGAAATATGAACTTACACCTCTTAAAGGATAGTTCGAGCCCCAGTTTCTGGATTTACCGATGGACGCAGCTCCGTTATCGGTGAGAAATAAAATGATGGACTCCCTGAGCATTCCTCGATCGCCTAACGCGTGCACTATTCGCCCCAGGGACTCGTCTAGCTCTGTCACCATTCCTGAAATACAAACGACGGGACAGTCGACGGGAATTAATTCATATTCTCTTATATATAAACGTATTCGCGTACTGGCATATTTGCGGCGGTTCGGCTCGCGAATATGTTCAAACTGCGTGTCGTTATATTGATCCATGGGGTGTTCTAAGGGAGCGTGAACTGCGAGATGCGAAATTTGAAGGTAGAGCGGTCTGCCACGTTCGTGGTTCTCGATTATCCTGGTCGCTTCTTCGGTGAATAAGTCTGTAGCGTATTCGCGATTGAACCCGTGAGCTGGATCGTCCCCGCGGTGCATATCATATCCGCTCATGTTCTACAATAATTTTAATCACAGTTTTCTTATTTCGCATGATGCTCCGTTTGCTAGTTCCTCGTTCCTGACCTGAGACGAGTATCTGTAGTCGAAATAAGATATATGACTATTGAAGAAACCGAAGAATGTATCGAACCCTCTGTGCAACGGCGTGTACTGAGGCGTGTGATACCCCATGTGCCATTTCCCAATTAATTTCGTGGTGTATCCTAAACCTCGTAAATGCTCCGGTAGAATTTTTACGTCCAATGGAAGACCGCGTGGTTCGCCACCGCGAATCTCGTCCCCTTGCATTCCTTCACAATTGAATACCGCAATTTATATTTGATTTCAACGGAAATTGATCTTTTTATGCGTACCGATACGGATTGGGTACAGCCCAGTGAAGAAGGCTGATCTGGACGGTGTACTCGACGGCAGTACGTAATGCTTGTTTAATATAATCCCATTGTATCCGAGAGCGTCGATGTTTGGCGTTAGTATTTGATTGGATCCGTGAAAACTAACATCGTTCCATCCCTAATAAATCAATCGGTGAAACATAATTGTCTGTACATCGTCATTGAAGTAGAAATAAACGTCTCGCTCTAATTGGTATAAGCTCGAGTAGACGTGCCGAAATTTTGTCATAAATTAAAGTCGATTACTATAATTGTGCTGAGTATCATCTAGCTGGCGTGCGTCACCGGCGAGGCAAATAGAACGATAAAAAGACAGAGACTTCTTAGAATATAATACCATCGATTTCAATCAATAATTTTTTTTAAATATATGCAGGGTGTCCCAAAAAAAGGATTAATTCTGAAGATGGTTCTGAACAACAATTTCCTTTAGTAAAATACAAAAAGAAACATCATTTTCGAAATAAAATTGTTCATTGCAACAAGTTTTTCTTCGTCCAAGCCAAAAATTTTCAGACAAAAGTTGTACTTCTAGTTGCCAGGTACAAGAAAGGTCCTATGCAGTTTCCTTCTAGCTCGAGTAATTTAGGAATACAAATTGTAAGGCATTCTTAAAATTGTCTTCTTGCTTTCATAGAAGCAGCCATTACTGTCTCGTAAGAACGTTACATCTGGTTTTATTGCCTCGCGATTTTGGCGAAACTTTAGAGACACGATCGAAAAGGATCTATCCAAGTGTCTCTTAAGTTTCGTTACGATTTTCTTCACGAGTTTGGTAAATAGAATTCGTATTAACTTCGTCTCTATTCGATATTATCGAGGTACATATTTTAATTATATTACATCTATGCGATAATAAAGGATTATGTAATAGAATGTGATGACATAATTGTGGTAATTGATATGTCGCGCGAAGAAGGGGAAGATTTCAGTTTTGCGATTACGATGAGTCACAAGTACTAGCATCCTTGTTAGGCACGGGGGCGTCTGTAATTTTCAAACCACGATAATTGCCTTAACGTAAGGACAGTTTTAATTCAAAACGTTTTCATGCTACAGATTAATCAGAGCAAATTGAACAAAGTAACCAAGTGCACGATGATGCATGTATGAAAACCGGTTAATATTTCATATTGCCTCTTCCTTTTATATCATTTATTCTTAATAGAATTTGATAAACGGTGATACGATGTGAATTAAAATATTTTTTACATCCGGTTAAGATATATTAAATTATTATTCTTTAAACAAGTAATTGTCACAGTATATAATCGTAAAATAGATTGCAATTAAAATGTATAGTGAGTAAGAAAAATACGTACCAAGTCGTCGACCATAAATACAATAATATGGGGTGGCGTTTCGTATAAAGTGGTCGATGATCCCCTGACGAAGAGCGTAAGACACAGCCAGCACGCACTTATCCAATTCGCAGAATATCTATACATTCTTTTTAAAAACGAACGAGGGAAGGTAACGAGATTGAATGTAATTAAAGAATGACACGATTAAGATAAGGGATGTTCCACTTTTCTCAACACTTGACACAATTCGTTAGGAAGAATCGCGAGAGCATGTCTACGATGTTTATAAGGGAGCTTCTACGGGACATAGAAGAATGGGGAACAGAAATAAACACGTTTATATAGTCCACCCACGAAGAAACATGAATGATGATACGTGTTTTAACTTCGTTGCTTCTCATCTTACACGAACGTATCTACCGTACTTACATAATTAGCTAGCTCTGTGTATGAGCTATTACGCCGAAATATTACAAATTCGAGATATAAAGAATTGACTAGATTAAGAATTAACAGTGATGGTTCAAAGTTGACAGTAAAAATTAAAGGCACATACGAAGTCCTCAATTTTAATACTTAAAATTGAATGAAGAAACGAAAGGCGATTACGAAATAATCAGCATTTAAAAGTAGAAGAAATGAAAAACACTGTGCAGATTGTAGGATGGGCGAATAAAATAAAACGAAATTAATTGCATAAGTATGTTATTTATCGAACAGGGAGTATCTTAAGGATGTATTGGCTATACAGTCAATCCCAAAAGTTTATGCACTTTAGAAACCCATTTTTTAAAAAGTAATCAGACGTCGGAAGAACAATGCTAATAATAAACAACAACAAAAATTTTTTTATTTTCCCTTCAGATTTTGCAAAATTTTCGTTTTTGGCCAATAACTCCCAAACCGTTAGACATACGGAAAAATTGAATAAGACCTTTCTTGTAGAGGACGACGAGATCTACAATTTCCATGTAAAAGTTTCTCGCTAGCGTCAATAGTTTACGAGTAATTTGCAAAAAACTGATTTTTCGTTTTTCGTCAATAACTCGTAAACTATTAATGCTAGCGACAAACTTTTATACAGGAATTGTAGATCTCGTCGTCCTCTACAAGAAAGGTCGTATACAATTTTCCCGTAGATTCAACGGTTTAGAAGTAATTAAGGAAAAATGAAATTTTTTGCCAGAAGTTCGCCGTTTCGACGCTGGGATGGTCGGATTTTGTCAACATCAATAAAATGCCAAATAATCATACGTAACTCGTTAAATATCGAAGTTAGAAGGAAAACAACTTTTATTTGAAGCATTTTTCGCAATTTTGAAAAAAATAAATTTTCGTCAGCGTCAATACTTAATTGGATATTTCCTTCTATACTTTTTAGCACGTAGCTATTTATTATTAGCATTATTCTTCCGACGTCTGATTTCTTTTTAATTATAGGAAATGCGTTTTTCTAAGGTACATAAACTTTTGGGATTGACTGTATAGCCAATACATCCTTAAAGAAATATTTAAACATTTGAAAGAACTCTAGACTTCGATAGAAAAATATACAAGGACCCTCTAACAAGGAAGGTTGACTACAGGTTCAACAGGAAGAAAGGACATGAGGGATTCATTTTTATATTGTTGAATACAATTTCATTGCAATCCTTTTTTGAAAAAATGTTCCTCTTTTAAACTCTTATTTGAACTATTTCGTCGAGCATTGATTGGTGCGCAAAACCAAACTTAAGTCCCTCGAAGTGCCAATGAGCTGTGCAAGATTGCGCGTAGGAAACTCGAATCTTGGACAACAGAGTGAACAGAGCATTGGTGAACTTTTGTAAACCGGTCTTGCATCGACCCTCTCCTCTCTCGCTCGGTTCCTCTTTAAACGCTTGACGCGTTCCTCCTTTGCCACGGGGCAAGACGAATATATTTAAGGGGCAGAAATAAAAGAAATTCGACATTGTGGAAAAGAGTCTATTTATTTATTAGAGGTCCAAGGCATTTCTTCCAATTATGAACGTGAACTTGCACAGAGTAGAAACACCTAGCAGATGTCTTATGCGGCGAAATAAGTGAATCGCTATATCCTTTGAAAATAATTTTTGAAAGCACAGAATTAATGAATGAATTATCAAAATTAAGTAGATTTCGTTTGTTACATGCAATTCATATATATTTCTGTCTCATATGATCCGATGTTAAGATTTGATCAGTATCGTGGTACTTGTCAATTTTCGAAATTACGAACAATCGTCTAAAATGTATTATTTCCCTGTATTGTAAAACTTGCCCTCGGGACGCCATCGTGTCCCTTGATACAATGTGAATTCAAACAATGCTTAGGTACATTGTTATTACAATTGACTTAACGGTAAACAAAGCACCTAAAAGAAGTTCGTTTCCGAGCGTAATAAATTGATATCGTACACACAGCTAATATCATAAGTATAAGAATAAAATTAATAGTAACTTCTGTTTTCGAGAAATTAGTATACAATATAAGTATCACGGATGACACACGTACTTACAGAGAGGTGTTGATAGAATAGGTAATACTAACAGTAAGTTTTAATTTGCTATGAAATTAACAAAATATAATTCACCCATTTGTCGTACATAATATAAATGAGCACTTTCAAATGATCATTCGGAATAGTAACATGCATTGTCGAGACGCGGTCGGTTTCAAACCAAGTTGTGTTTTAAAAATACGGTACAAAAATATGGTAAATGAAGAGTGTACTGTTTCAACGCAGTCCATGTCTCTGTAATGTTAAATTCAGTAGCGATTTAATAGATCGAAGTCACACGTAAAAGAAACACGGGAGGTTGACAATATGTAATAGAAAACGGTCACGGAGAAAAATAGAAATATATAGTTATCCACAGTATTTATAGTCCTAATACACGCTCGCTTACACAAAGTAATATTCTGTAAATATACACTATTCGTGATTAATCAATGATATATCGAATCCTATTTTTCTTAATCATAAGTCGTCGTATTGCAAACTTTTACATTAACAAAGATCGTGGACGTTCTATTCGTTCTCAAGCGGGAAGCCTCTAACTCTCTTAAAATTAAAAATGTTAAAAAACACTTAAATGATCCACACCATTCATTGTACCGTACTGTTAAACGTCATCAAATTATCTAGCGCAATTCGATGATTTTCAAGTCCAGATTTCTATTTGATTACAGTTACGAATCGTGAAAATTAAAGGAAGAAGATGAATTATCTGATAGGTATCAGCGCATACGGTATGTGTTAGTTTCGTGTACTTGGCACAATTCTCCTTTGAAGTCCACTTCGATGATGAAGTCCAAATCTCTATAGTTCCTCGCGTTGGGTTTCATCGAAAATACACCATATATTTCTTCGCCCTTCTTCACGGTCATATATTCGTCGAAGTAGAATACAGTTTGTTTCCAATGAGTATACTGTACTTCCGGCGCCGTGCTGAACCCGATGCGTTTGTGGCACTTGGTGAATTCGATGTTGAAGAAAGTGACTAGCGCTTGTACATAGTCGTTTCTGCGGACTTGCAAAGTGAACGGTGATGAAAATTCCAAATCAGCCTTAGTTACAGTGTATAAATCGACTTCCTTGATCAGGCATGCATTCGTAACGACTTGTTTCGGGTCCACAACGTCCACTAGAGGTTCGCTAATCGCTACTTTTCTTATACTACTCATATCAAATCCATATACATCGTCCCACCAGTTTATCTTCTCGTCCTTGTATTGTCTATCTTCTATGCCGCAGATAAATAAAGTTGCTTTGTCAGGGAACAGCATTCCGTCCTCGCGAAGCCATTTGTCTCTAGCGAACAGCACTGTATCTAACATCGATTCGTAAAATAAACAGTAACCCATCCACTCGGAAATAATTATATCAACTTTTTCAATGCCATCGGGCAATGAGACCTCCTCAACCTTGCCTTTAAGTATCGTTATTATGTTCGAAAGCTGGTTCGCCTCTACGATCTTCTCTGCGTACTCGACGATATTCGAACACTCGATACCTATTACTTTAGCTGCCCCAGCCTTGGCAGCGAACATTGAGAGTATACCAGTTCCACAACCGATGTCAAGAACTGTTTTGCCTTTGAATAAATGTTTGTTGTGATACATAGAGTTACGATAAGTCACTGTACGCACTTCATCCTTCAACATTTCTTCGTGAATCCCATAATGGGCATACGAATCGAAATAATAGTCGCGCGACGTCATATCGTCCACAGAAACTGATTCCCTGCAGGACGATGGTGTCGCATCTTTGCCTGGCATAGTGCTATTTTCGGTAACTTCCATAGATTCCATTTTCGATACCTGGAACGATGCAAAAATTGTTACCCACATTGAAATTCACATTCATCCATAATGAAATATACATATAACACGGAATGAGTATATAGGGTGCACGAGAACGCTACGACAAAACGACGACCCGAACACGTGATGACTGTTCATTTCAAATTTCGTTCCGCGGAAGTTTAATAAAAATGATTATAAAACGTTATTTACAATGTTGTTCATCAGTGCCGGCAAACTGGTGATTCTGAAAAACCTCGAAACCGTCGAATTATACTCGTTTCGGTGATTGCAGAGAGAACGCGAGGATGCACACGTGCCCGCCAAAACGAATGGCGTCTGTTTAAGATCGAATGATCACTCGGGATTCTTTACACACACACATTTCTACACCACAGTGCGGCGGATGGAATTACACATTGAGAATTGAACGTATCCCGATTTTCTTGGGATGACGTTGACGAACGATTCGGGATAATTGAAATATGTCTTTGGAAATTGATCTGAGGAAATCGGATAGGCGATGTATTCGTCTTCACGACGCCCAGCGTTAAGGAAAACTGTGTTGTGACAAACGGCGTTCAAACATTTATTTTCTTGTTAAAAGTTTCGGGAACGTCACCCAATGTTTTTCCCGATTTCAATGGACTGGGAACATAAGCGAGGCAGCTCTTTCTCGTCCTTATGGTAATACTCAAACGAAACTTACCGAATTTTCTGCTGTGCACATGCCACTTTGGTTGATTTCTACCGGCACTTCATTACTCGACGCCATTTTGTTCCGCGTCACAGCAGACGAACATTATATGCAGGAACGTACGTACGAAGGCACATGGCAAACTCTAAATGCATATATATATTATACATTCAGGAAGTATATCTAACTATGCAATATTTAAAAGATTCTAATTTTCTCGTCAATTCGTTATCAACTTTCCTAAATATATTTAAGACGAACGAAGGAATAGTTAAATAATTTTCTGGTAAAGTTTTTTTAATATCAAACAC